CTCTCTCTCTCTCTCTCTCTCTCTCTCTCTCTCCCTCTCTCTCTCTCTCTCTCTCTCTCTCCTCTGCCAGCTCTGTTCTGGACAGCCCCAACTCAATCTCTCACATGGAGAAGAAACCCATTTCTTCTAAAGGACAGTTGTGTTTTCCTTCTAGTGGATAAAATAGTTTTGACACAATTGTCATATGCCATCTATTGAGATAATTTTTAAAAATTAGATTTCCTTATTTTGTTACAAAGGAAACTCAAACTCAAGACTTGCACTAAGGAAGAGGAAGGCCAATTTCTCACAAATGCTACCGTATTTTTGCAAAAATAAAACAAAAACAAAAAAATAAAAAAAAAAAAAAAAAAAAAAAAAAAAAAAGATTAAGGTATACTGCAAACATTTGTTTAAAATATGGTTAGAACTAAGTTAAAATACTATCAATCTTATAAAATGTTTTAAGGTTAATTCTGTACCTTGAGATAAAATTAATGCTTGATATTCTACAATTTTTGGTTTTTCTTTTTTGTTGTTGTTGTTGTTGTTGTTGTTTGGTTTTATTTCTTAAGACAAGGTTTCTCTGTGTAACTCTGGCTGTCCTAGAACTCACTCTGTAGACCAGACTGGCCTTGAACTTGGTGATCCACCTGCTTCTGCCTCCTGAGTGCTAGGATTAAAGGCATGCACCACCACTGCCCAGATTTCTACAATATTTTCTTAAGAGTTGATCTGTTTTTAGTATCTCTTGGTTAAATGAACATTTTAAATGTATGATTAAATTTTAGGGTATTTTTAAATATGTTTTCCCATTGGGCAAAGACTTTGCTTTTTGGGTTGTCAGTCATTGCTTTAACCATTAAAAAAAAGTTTCTGTTGAGAAACTGATGCTTACTTAGAATATCCTTCCTAAATTAAACAGTGATTATGAGACTTGTTTAATGGACAAATAGTTAAATCTATTTATAAAATTTGGTCTATTAGATAAACAAGTAACACGGGGTGCTGTAAAGGACTTTTAACTATAACTAAGTTCAAAATTAATTGTAAAGTCTTCTCCAAAAGATAAAATCCAGACTAAGAGAAAAAAAAAGCCCTTGTGTCAACGGCTTCATTCTGCCTTAAAGACCAGGCCTGTATACAGGTGCTCCTAAGGCACTCCTGGGGATGCTGAACCTCACGTCACCTAAGGGCCCGTTCATTCGGACCTGGAAAAGGCGAGTGACGCCAACAATGGAGTACCAGAGTGACTAAATGTTTCTCTCACTGTTTATGCTTCTTAAAGGTTTTTGTTTTCAGGCTTTAAAAAGTATTTATAATACCTAATACTCTATCTGATACATTTCTAATCTTGGTGCTAATGAAGTTGCAAATGAAAGTGTGGTGTCCCCTCACTTGATTGGACCTTTTTGTGCGACGGTGTGCTTACCCTAGACCACTACCTTATCCAAAACAATGCTTGAAATAACTCAAGTTTTTCATTGTCTTTGTGTATACATATATAGTCTCTTATTCAGTATATTTTGGATAAAACAAACAAAATCTAGTTTTTAAGTTACACTTAACTCCATTTACTCTAACTAGAGATACCCAGAGATTTGGGTTAATTTTTCTTCTCCAGAGCATATAAGACATCTCTAATAACAACATCTATGATGGATTATAACTTAAGTATTGATCTTTTTTTTTTCTCTTTCTTTCTTTCTCTCTTTCTTTCTTTCTTTCTTTCTCTCTTTCTTTCTCTCTTTCTCTCTTTCTTTCTTTCTTTTTAAAGAGTTTTCCGATACAGCGTTTCTCTATATAGTCCTGACTGTCCTGGAACTCACTCTGTAGACCAGGTTGGCCTCCAACTCTCTAGATCCTCCTGCCTCTGCCTCCTGTCTGCTGGGACTAAAGTCTGAGTCACCACACACGGCAGGTGTTGATGTTTCTTGATGTAATTAGCATCCAAAATAGTCTATAGTACAACTTACTGGGAATAGAAAAATTAATTAAACAATTTTGTATCTTACTAATAAAAGAGGAGACAACACTTCAGTGACCCCTTCAGAAGTCCCTTTTCCAGCCACTGAAATATAAGCAAGAGTCCATCAAGTACAAAACTGTATATACGGGAGAAACTGTTAGTCAATTTCATTAAAAATAGGTAAATTTTTGTTATTTTTGAAGTGTTTCTTTCATCTGTAACCTCACTCTATTAGGCCAAATTATGTTTTTAATTACTTAATTTTTAGATATAGCAATTTATAACCATGGGTAAATGCTATTACCATGTTAAAAGAAGGTGTTAAAAAAATAAGATCCAGATTATGGTGGCTAGTAGCGTTGCTATGACCCAAGAGTTTCTTTCTTAATGGTCTTTACCAGCTATTGCTCTCTCCTGCTCACTGCTTAACCTCAGCTACCTCAGATCCTACGAATGAGCTTCCTAGCTATAAAGGATCTTAAAATATTTAATAAATAAAATGTGGTCCCTGCCTGCACAAAATGCGGTGCTTGGCCATCGGGGGAAACTCTTGAAATGAACTGTCTGCAGAGACTGTTAGAATCTCAGTACTGTGGAGATAGTGAATTTCGTAAGTTCAGAGGCTAATTACCTCATCTTGGGCTAGTTCTGGCTCTCAGGACCAGCCGTTTCTTGCTCACCTCTGTGCTGGAGCTAACATCTTATGACTCAATAGAAGAAACCTTTTAGAATCTATTAGCTTGGCAGAACACTAGCCTCTACCAATCCAAAAGCTAAGCACGTCATCAGATCGCCTTGCGCCCTATAGAAAGCTTCTCCATCTCAGTGTACCTGTCTCTCAGATGTACCCGCCGTGTATTTTAAACTTCCCTTGATTTATGACTCTTTTTGTTCTGTAAAACTATAAGCTTTTTGAAACTTTTTTCATGTCGGAACATGGAATTTGAGGTAGCCTAAATCTGTGTTCCCAGGCTATGGTTACTCAGAATGGCCCCAAAATAAGCTATATCTTATTCCCTCAGAAGGAGGAAGAGGATGGGAAGGGGGGAGGAGTTCCCAGCAGCCACACCTGGAGGCTTAGACCACCAGTAACCCAGGAGATCTGTGCTCTCTTCCTGCTTCCAAAGGCACCAGATACACACCCATAATTAAAATAAAATTAATCTTTAGATAATTTTGCTTAATATAGTTCATTGTTTCAGCTTTCATTAACTTTTATAAGTGGGAAAATGGTAATCAAACACTTCTTTAGAATGATTTTTAGAATTAATTTGAAAGTAAAAAAAAAGAATAAACACATAAAAGAAAACTAGCCTTCTGATCTGCAGCTTTAATGGTGGGAATCTTATTATTTATTTATTTATTGTGTGTATCTACACAGTACAGGTGTGTGCATGACATGGTGTGTGTATGGATGTTAGACAACTTCTGAGATTTGGTTTTTTTCTACCCACGGTGGTATCTAGGACTTGAACTGAGGTAATCAGGTTAATTTGGCAAGTGTCTTTACCCTCCAAACTATCTTGCCAGCCCAGGAACTTCTTCTCCTCCATCCTCCTCCTCCTTCCTCCTCCTCCTTCCTCCTCCTCCTCCTTCCTCCTCCTCCTCCTCCTTCCTCCTCCTCCTCCTTCCTCCTCCTCCTCCTCCTTCCTCCTCCTCCTCCTTCCTCCTCCTCTTTCTCCTCCTCTTCCTTCTTCCTCCTCCTCCTCCTTCCT